CCCCAAAACCCCAAAACCCCAAAACCCCACTAAGATAAAGTTTAAAAATTAGTGAAAATCAAATAAATTATTAAGATCGATTGATAAAGATTTAATTTCTCATAAGTAAGACATCAGCTGATCGAAATATATCAGTACTAATTTGATTAGTGATGGTGAGATGTGAGCTCATAATAGTGTGCTATCCTCAACTGATTTGTTAAGTAATTTGTACTTCTTGTCTTTGAAGCCACCTTCACTTGGAGTGCCTACACTTCCATCTGCTGCAAACTTAAACTTCACATGTGAATCAGCAATAACATTAGATTCACTAAATAGAATAGATTTCTACTCCATAGAATATCTTTTGATATCTTCTTCTTCAATGTATTCTGAATTCCTTACATCGTCAATTTACAGTCTCCTTAAGTCCTCTTTGATAGTTTTAAACATCAAATGGATTCTTACATTGAATAAAGAAGGAACCAACAGTTGCAATGAAAGCGCAAACAATCCAAATTCCAACTCCAATCAGAGGATCAGCCTGCTCACAAATAAGGGACAAAATTACTCCCTAAAGAAATTATTTTTAGAATTTAAAATGAATAGTGATAAATACTTACAAGTACTCCACCAAATATTTGACCAATTGAGACCATAACTCCAATTGAATAAATTTCAGGTACTGGATATGTGATTTCGGCTGCGAATGAAAAACAGATTGTGGCAACTGGAATGATAGTTGCTCCAGTTATCATAATGATGCAGGCCTCAGTAATAAGATTTTTTGTAGGTAATCCATAAAGCGATAATGATAATGAGATTGTTGCAGCAATACATATTCCGACAAAGGATTTCTTGTAGCATTGATACTTATCGAGAATAGTTCCAATAAAGAAGGAAAAGAGCACTCCAGATATTGAGAATACAAGGCAAATGACACTATTATCAGAAGGTGAGTAGCCATAAGGAGTTGTAAAAGAAGTAATCGAGCTAGCTAATGCAGAGTAAAGTCCATATAGCATGGTGAAACTGATAAAAAGGAAGACATAATTTCTGTTCTAAAAAAGATCTCTGATACTTTAACCTGCAGTCATTTCAATAGGATCTTCTCTTATCAAAACTCTAAAATAGTGTTAAGTAAAAAGGATTTTACGATGGAGGAGAAGGGGGTTTTTCTCTGAAGAGAAACCATCCTGGAACCATGAACATTGTTATTATTCCTGTTTAAACAATTATGTAAAGCTTGAATTTCCATTCCTAATCTTCATCAGTAATGAAGAAAAGATTTGGGAGTAGAAAACTTATCAAACAGCCAACAGGGGATGCCATACTTCCAAAAGCTGTTGCTAGTCCTCTCTAAATGAAAACTTCTTATTTTGAATTATCTTACCTCCTTATCTCCAAACCAAGTAGTTGCCATCTTAGCAATTGGGTTATAAAGAAAAGCTTAGCCTATTGAGGCAATAAATTATCCAATTAAAACCCCATAATATCCCATAAAAAGTATGGATAGCCTAACCCAACATCCTACCACTATCAATATCCCTCCAACTATCATCTAAAGTATGTTCTTAATAAATATATTGAATTTCATACGCAAACTCTAAAGCCATACTTCTGAATAACTATAGTTGTCAAAACATTTCCAGGTATGAACATGAACAAAAAGAACAAGGAATTCAAATTAACAAGCAAAGTATTAATATCGTAAACCTATTTTAGGATCACCATAATGTAAATTACATTAACAAGAATTGGAGCAAGTGTGCCACAGGTCATCATTGTCATTCCACTTCCCATATTAGCAAATACAAATAGAGCCAAAATCATCCATCTAAATTAAATATTATAAGTTGAGGACAGTGATTAACTTTAACATTACCTATAACTATATAAAATGAGTTTAGGATTTCCTTTACTATCCAGCGACATCTGCATAGGATCAAAGGTTGGTTATCTAAATGATCAATTAATTAATTTTTTTCATACATTGCTAGATCTGTAATTTCCTAGATTTATTAATTTTATTTTGCTCTGGCATCAGGAATCTAATCATGAGATCTCCTTACCATAGGCTTTTGAATTTGAATATCAAACTTGAAATCATCTGCCATTGATAATATAATCTTAGCTATTAAATTAGTTTTGCTTTGTATATTTATAATTGCAAATTGGAATTTCTAATTAATATATGCTTTTCTTTATTTTACATCTAGATTTTTAATAACGGGGTTTTGGGGTTTTGGGGTTTTGGGG